GTTCCATGGTCAGTTGTCGAGCAAGTTCGTTAGGGTGGTGGATCAACGGTTCTTTGTATTTGGCTGCCAAACTCTGAATTTCCTCTTTCACTGTTGCTATTTCAAGGTGCTCGTGTACTTCAAGCAATAAAAATCTGCAGATTTTGCCAAACTGAAGAGGAAGTGCCACAACACATCCTATGTGGTTGTAAGCCCACTCATGCATAAACGTAATATCTCCTTTGTAAAGTTTACACTCTATCCTGAGGAGTTAAAAACCATCGCTCCTAAGAATATCCTTCAATTCTTGTCCCTGACGGGTCTAGGTAGCGAACTCTGAAAAAGGGCGAGCACAACAGATCTATGTAGGTCGCAGTGCTACAGGTCCAAGCATCTGACAAAAGCCCAAACCTGGCAATAAAAAATTGTACCATGATACTTGTTTCTAAGATCTCGTTTTGTTGACGCTGGATTATGTTTTTGTTGGAATCACTTGCACTTGCTGCCCCACAGTTGCAGACCATACGTCCAAATAGTTATTTTTATAGTCTAATATTGGTATAGAATAAAAAGATCTTTAAAAACATTGCAATGGTACTGTCACAAACTCTTTGTGCATTTTTATATATTAATTTTTACAGTTATTAGAATTATTATATTTTTTATTGTCACTTTGTGACTGTTATTATATGTAAATATAAGTAAATAAATAAATATTAAATACTTGTATGTACTTCGTACATATTTAACATTTATTTTTTTATTTATTTCAATTAGGCAGCTAATGTCCCATATTATAAATACCTTACAGACTAATATACATATGAGTAATATAATTATAAGAAAAGAAATATAAATTGTCTGTGTGATCACGGCACTGATGATAGTATTCTGCCACGGTATCGCCGATACACCACACCCTTCGGCCAGTAGTCCTCCTTCATGAAGGTGGGCAGCATTGGTGGGGACTCGGGCCACAAACGACTTGAAACTCGCGTTATGACTCGATTCCAGCTGCATCACCCTCAATGTCAGGATACTCCTGGTATGTAGTCTACAATCCTATTCCTTTATTATGCGTTGTTCCATTAATCTCTCACATACATTCCATTCATACACAGGCACTATGGATGGTATTGCCATAAACTAAACTGTAGTTCTTCGTGGCAAGAATGTATGATATCCAGAGATATATATATAGACAGTTTTATGAACCTCTATCACTCGGTTTCGTTATGGTTTTTGTATGTTACAAAAAGGACTGACAATGTGATTTCAATTACATTGTTCAGTTTCGGCTTGACTGAGAGCGATGAGCGATTTATGATACAGAAAATATAGAAGGTTAGAATTTTCTGAAGAACTTTGTACCCATTTTTATGGACATTGAGCTGACGGAGGAGTTTGAAATTACGCACACTTATAGTTTATATTAGAGAGTGAACAATGTTAACTTTTTTTTTAATTATGTATAAAAATAAATGATATTAATAAAAAACATTACATACTAACATGTATTTTACATACACGCATATATACTCTCATTATTTTAAAAGTCAGTGGTCAAATTGCCAATAGTCTTACTGAATGTTAAATTAATTAATCGATCCACTCTTGTTAGTTTTTCTCATTACGAAATCATTCCGAACTGACAGTAGATTTCACATATCATAAGTCTGTAATAGACCTACATGAATAAAGATATTTTGATTTTAACATCGTACGGTCACTTCACAATCGCGATTCGCCGTCATAGAGACAGTAGCTTTCGCACGGTTGCTAAGTACGTTTTTTCTTAGAAGCGCATTACATTATCACCTCCATTCAGACATTGGCTTTTAAATTGTTGATAAAGTAGATCTTCTTTTATAAACACGCACCGTATTATATTTTTTTTGTCTACGCAACTTATAGGTTCGTAATTGGTTTTTTGTATGCGCAGTGAAATTGCTATTTTTTATTTAGTCACAGTGAAATTATAAAAAGTGAAGGCATTTCGTTAATAATCATCTTATTTTGAAATAGGTCAATGGGCTGACGAGTACGGTTTAATAGAATTCTGGTTTCTAATGGGTTTTTGGTCCATTCATTAATCCAAATATTTATATTTGACAGCCTCGGTGGTCTAGTGGTTTAGCACACCGCTTTACTATCCGATGGTCGTGGGTTCGATTCCTCGCACGGTACAAACATTTGTATTCATGAGTATGATCGTTTGTATCGGTCTGGGTGTTTTCTATGTATAATATGTATTTATTTACAAAAAAAAATGTATCCATGTATTTGTATCAGTTGTCTAGTACCCATAACACAAGCTCTGCTTAGCTTGGGACTAGATGGCGCTGTGTGAATTGTCCTGAGATATTATTATTATTATTATATCTACGTTAACACGTGAAGTAAAAACTTTGTAACCCTTTTTACGATAATTGCTCGGACGAGGCAGTTTTATTTCGCACACTTTTTTTTTTATAATTTACTAGCCATGCCCCCTTCTTTGCTTGCTTGATATTTTAGCCTGTGTTATTCTGATATATAAGCTATATTACTGTAAAGTTTCATCAAAATCCATTCAGTACTTTTTGCGTGAGAGATTAACAAGATACTGACATACTTTCGCATTTATAATATAGAATAGAATAGAAAATCATTTTTATTCAAATAAACTTACATTGAAGCACTTTTGAATAGTCATTACATTTTTTTAATCTACCACTCATTCGGAAAGCTGTCTCATCACAAGAAGAACGAGCAAGAAACTTGCGTGTTGCTCTTTTAAATATAAAATTAATAAGATATAGAGAAGGCGAGCAAAATGGTAAAATCTATTTTTAATTACGCATAAAAGATATATTTAATAAATAAAAAATTACACCCATGTAATTGACACACATGTATATACGAGTATACTGTTTAGTTTATTGCTATATAGTCTGTGGTCAATATTCAACTACTAGGCGTTTCTGGAAAAACAACTCTACATAATACTAGGGAGTATTACGTAGAGTTGTTTTTCCAGAAACTTTTTGCCACGTACAATCATTGTGGACTCATCTTCCAGCAATTGTATTTCCGACACTATATTGAAAAGAGCTTATTCCTTCATAAAAGCCGGCAACACACTTGTATTGCGCGTGCTCATGGGCGGCGGTAATCACTCACCATCAGGTGAGTCACAAACTCATTTGTATATATGCTATAAAAAAAATACGGAATTCACGTATACCTTGTACACTTTGATTTTGTACATTTTGATTTCTTCATTATGATTTTGTACACTTTTAATGTGTACATTTTCATTTATTCACTCTGATTTTGTACCCTTTTAATGTGTACCGTTTCATTTACTCACTTTATTTTTGTACACTTTTTATTTGTACATTTTCATTTCTTCACTTTGATTTTGTACACTTTTAATGTGTATATTTTCATTTCTCACATTGATTTTGTATACTTTTAATGTGTACAAAATCTGAGTAAATAAATGAAATGTACATTATCATTTTTTCACTTTTATTTTGTACATAATATACAAAGTCTATCCAAGTTAAATTTACAGATCATCATCTGGTTCTGGGTCGCGACTCTCGCTTGGTAATATTTCTTCTGACGTATATATCTCGTTTAGGAGACATAATGAAAGTGATTTTATGGTTCAGTGGATACCTATTCGGTCTAATCATCGTTATATTTTTTAGGTCCAATCACGAGTTCGACGCTTGTTTTATGTATTTATTTTATCATCATTTATTTAATAATTTTATTTTATTTTCGTAGATTATGTTATAGTTTTAAAGCCATGAAGAAAACGTCTTAAATAGCATTATATATATATATATATAAATTTGTGTGTGTTTATTGTTACATTATACACGTATGTTATAATAAGTAATACATACATACCTACATTACTATGTTTGCAGTTGCAGAAAAAAAAATTATATATATATAAATACAATATCACCCAGACCGATACAAACAATCACACTCATAAATAGAATAGAATAGAATAGAATAGCAAGTGTTTGTATCGTGCGAGGAATCGAACTCGCGACTATCTAAAATCAGTGCACACAGAATAAATTTCTATGGTAAGATACATTAAAACAAACAAATAAAGAAAAGTGGATTTGAATTTTTCTTTTTGTAAGTCGGTTGCAAACCACTTTCTGTCTACATCAGACATAATGAACCTAGATTTTTTGCTTTGTGGTACTGACGTATACTATTATATATAATTTCAGTAATAGTACATATTAGTCAGTGATTTCATTTTTTTTATTAAAATTCAAAATATCTTTATTCATGTAGGTCTATTACAGACTCTTTTGATATGTCAAATCTACCGTCAGTCCGGAATGATTTCAAGATGAGAACTGACAAGAAACTCAGCTCGTATTCTTTTCAAATCAATATTATTCATGTTTAGATTAATACAGATAAATTTTTAAATTCAAACTTGGGAGAATAGAGTGACCACCAGCATATGCTGTTAAAAACAAATAGTCTAATCAGTGTTCGTAACACATACAGACCAGTCCCCGCAAACAGCACCTGTTCACTACTATTTCTTCTATAATTATCATTTTGCAATTTACACTTGCGAGCATTATCATCATCATCTGTTTCCATTCATCCCTGTTCGCAGTCATCGCGTTATTTACTTCCTTTCTTACCATATCATTTTTCACAAAGTCCATCCATCTCTTTTTCGGCCTTCCTCTACCCTTATAACCATCCGCATTCATTTGTAACATCTTTCTTAAAATATTATCCTCGTTCCTACGCATTACATGTCCATATCATGATAGACGATTACTCTTCAACCTCTCTGACACCGGTGCCACTTTCATACTTCCTCTAATGTATTCATTCTTTATCTTATCCATTCTTGTCACACCACACATCCACATCACACCACTTGCGAGCAAAAGCATGGAATCACTTATTTGGAACTATCGCGCGGAATTGCAAGTAAGTGGTTCTATACTATTGCTCCCGAGTGTAGTTTAGGCACAAACCTTGGCTGAACTGGCAGCGATCTTGAATACAAGGAGAGCCAGGCCGATGGCGACAGCTTTGGCTGTCAGGATGGTGGTCAGGACAGTCCAGGCTGACGTCATGCCCAGGTGGAAGATCACCGGAAGTGTTGCAAACGCCAGCTTCTTCATACTGCGACCTTCTGTAACTGAATTTATATATATTTTTATGGATGACTAGCTGCATGATTTTAACTTTATTTTTCTAAAATAAAAGTAGCCTAAGTTACTCCTTATTACATCAGCTACCTGCCAATAAAAGTTCCGTCAAAATCGGTCCAGCCATTTCAGAGATTAGCCGGAACAAACAGAGGGACAGACAAAAATTGTAAAAAATGTTATTTTGGTGTATGTACCGTATTTATATTCATATGCATGTAGTAAAAAGCTTTACGGTTTACGCTGGCGGGGCTCCAGTGGAGAATTATAACATGAGCATGAGGTCAGGTCAGTCAGCTCATCTTGACAAATTCTCCAAGAGTTTGTCATGATGGTTTCCACCCCTGGAACCGCGTGAAGGTCAACTTGACATGGTACATCGCTAGCAATAGGGTCAAAAGTCCACATTACTAACAATCCACTCTCCCCAGAAGTTATATTTGTTTATATACTGTTTTAAACTTGCGCGGTCATTATTTATACGTATAATTAGTAAAAATCATAAGGTAAATCATAAGGTAGGGGGGAAGGGGATTGTTAGTAATGTGGATTGATAACCCCATTGCTAGCAATGTACCATGTCAGGTCGACCTCCACGCGGTTCCCTCTGGAAACCATCGTGTTAAATTCCTGGTGAATTTGCATGATGGGCTAACTGACCTGACCTCATGTTCATCTTATCATCCTCCACTGGTGCCCCGCCAGCGTAAACCGTTAGCGCAGGCGGGTGCACCATTCCATTATCAACCCTCAAAAAAAAAAATCATAAGGTAAATGAATAGGTAAACTGACACAGTTTACCCGTGATCATGGTGGTTGAAACACTACCGAAATATCGGGAACTCAGCAAATAAATATAAAACGTGGTAAGACCCCGTGATTTTTACTAATTATACGTATATATTTGTTTACTCAGTCATACGATGTTTTAATGTATACTATCTACTGGCTCTGGCTTCGCACGGGTGTACATGTATTATACATATAAACATTCCTCTTGAATTACTCTTCTTTCGCTAATAACAACATTTAAATCCGTTGAGTAGTTTAAAAGATCTAAGCGAACAGACAGCCGTAGCGAATTCATTTTATACTATGTAATAAAGATACGTGAACAGACAACGAAAAAAAATAGTTTTATTTATTATTTGAGATAACCCAAAAACTAGCAGACAGATCTTAATGAAAATGAAATTAAAAAGATTAAAAAAGAAAAAATATACACAGGTAGATTACTCTTTCTGTTGCTAATAACTACATTTAAATCCGTTTTTAAAAGATCTACGCGAACAGACTATTTTATACTATGTAATAAAGATACGTGAACAGACAACGAAAAAAAATAGTTTTATTTATTATTTGAGATAACTCAAAAACTAGCAGACAGATCTTAATGAAAATGAAATTAAAAAGAAAAAAAAATAAAGAATAAAATATATATGTAAAACTACACGAGAAGTAACCAGCTTTCAAATTAAAAAATATATATTTCAGAGACAAACTTCCTAATGCATACATTTCATGGAATCACTGTGCGGGTTCCGGGTCCATCATGTAGGAGAGAGGGAAACTCCGAGCAGTTCCTGGGACTTGTGACCCGGGTGTAGGTTTAAGTGGCCCCTTGCCGACGTATGTACGTACGTACTCACCTTCACCGCTCGTGTTTCTCTCCCTGCCCACACAGATCTGGTAGGCCTGCTAGTGCAGCTATAGATACACGTTCTAATATAGAACTTACTGCAGTTTTAGACAAATGTTAGCGTTATGATTATAGTATTTTATTGTAATAAGAGTAATTTCATCATGATCATTGCCTTGCCTTTATCCCATTATTTGGGGTCACAGTATGTCATTCTCTTCCACTGCTCTCTATCGGTCGTCATATCTAAACATACCCTTCTTTTATTCATATCATTTCACACAATCCATCCATCTTTTCTTAGGGCGTCCCCTCCCTTTACATTAATAAAATAATAGTAATAAAAGTAATTTACAGACAGATAAAGTAATGAAGAACAGTATAAAAAAAATTGTGTTCAGAAGTACAATAGTTTAGAAGAATGTCTGGAGAAGAAGCCATTTTGTAGTTAGTTTTTCCCGCGCAACGTGCGTTGCGCACCACAGATGCGCAATATGCAAGGCGCGCAGTCGCAGTAGGATGACGAGCGTGTCATGGCAGTATGTGCGATGTTAATACTATGAGTATTAACACAAGCCAAGATATTTTAGAAGATTTATACTTTTCGGTACTCGTTGTCTATCAACTATCTATATATACCTGGTCCCCACCAATATGCTGCCCACCTTCATGAAGGAGGACTACTGGCCGAAGGGGGTGCTCTATCGGCGCTACCGTGGCAGATTGCCGTCGTCAGTGCCGTGACCATAGAGACAATTTTATTTTACATATTTGATTATTATTTCTTATGTATGTTAGTCTATAAGGTATTTATAATATGGGCCATGTAGCCTGAATTAAATAAATAAATAAAAAAATAAAATAAAAAATATATATATATTTGTAATTATAATTGTAATGACTGTTTGTACCAAAATAAACTAAAAAAAAAAAAAGATTTTAGAGATTTCCTCTTGCTCTCACTTAGAATAGAATAGAATAAAATAGAAAATCATTTATTCAAATAAACTTACATTGAAGCACTTTTGAATAGTCATTACATTTTTTTAATCTACCGCCCGTTCGGAAAGCTGTCTCATCACAAGAAGAACGAGCAAGAAACTTGCGTGTTGCTCTTTTAAATAATTTTATTATTACTTTACATTTTTAAGTTTAAGTGTGTGAATACAAACCACCAATTAGCACTAATTCAATTAAATACTCAAATAGAAGAAATTTTGAATATATAACCAACTGGTTAAACAATTAATAAGATTAAATCAGTCGTAGTGATAAGAGCAGACCAGTCCCTACAAGCAGCACCCGTTCACGAGTATGACGGATGAGCCAGCCATCACTGCGCTCGACCATATTTTAGGGAGCCCAATGACCCGGCCCACCACGCCGCCACAAGTCTGGACATTTTAGTGAGCATGACTACTCAAAACACTAGACCACGTCACAGCTACTTACAATTGCCATCTGATAGTTATAGTATTCACATTTTACATAAGAATAAACTTAGATTAGAAACTTAGCCATTTATTGTTATATCTTTGATTAGTTCGTAATATTTATTTGTTCTTATTGCACGGGCTTTTAGTGATGTACTGTAATATGGACTCTATTCTCTTTCTCCTCTCATCTGGGCCGTTGTCCGTATAGAGCAGTGACTACTAAAGCAACCAGCCAAATTCCTCCTAAAAGCACAGAAGCCTGCTGGTATCTTCACAGGCTTCACGGAGCGACCTCACCGTTCCGAGGATTTGTGTTCGTTGTGTGGCCACTGCAAGCGCTCCAGGATTACGTGAGCGGCCGTTTCTTCGGTTTCAAATCCGCCCCGACATCCCCTATGTCGGGGCGGATTTGAAACCGAAGAACTGTCTCTGTAGCACCTATTGTGTACAGGTGTTTGTTTACGGGACAGTGGTTTGTTAATTATTTATTAATTTAATTCGGATTACAATCTATATTATGTTAGTAAGAAACTTATAAACTAGTTTATTGTCTCTATCATTATTTAAATGCTTTCCTATATAAGTTTTAAGACGTTTTGAATAGAATAGAGTAGAATAGAAATCATTTATTTAAATAAACTTAAATAAAAATTTAAATAAAAAGACGAAAATATACGAATCTGGAGGGTTCGTATTGGTTTTTACCATTTGCCGTGGAGACGTTGGGCCCATGGAGCCCGGAAGCCAAATTGTTTTTGACATATATTTCACCGCAGCTCATCGAGGTTACTTGTGACCCGAGAGCTGGTAGCTATTTTGCCCAAAGGCTAAGTATGGCCATTCAAAGAGGCAACGCTGCCAGTATCCTGGGTACGCTGCCTCGATGTGCCGCGTTGGATTACAATGATTGTTTTTTGTAATTGTTTATATAGAAAATTGATATTGAGGAATTATGTATATTCAAATAAACTTAATTTAAACACTTTTGAATAGTCATAACATTTTTTAATCTACCGCTCATTCTGAAAGCTGTCTCATCACAAGAGGAACAAGCAAGAAACTTGTGTGTTGCTCTTAAACAAGTAAGTTCACATTTTACAAGTCGAAACGTGTGAATACAAACTACCAACCAGCAAAGATCAAATATAAATACACAATTAGATTAAATCAGTCGTAGTGATAAGAGCAGACCAGTCCCTACAAGCAGTACTCGTTCACGAGTATGACGAATGAGCCATCACATCAGTCATCACTGCGCTTGTTGCTTTGCTACTGGAATTGATTGTTTGCAACCAGTGGTTTGGCCTTGAGCTATATTTGTTTCCAATGGTATAGTGAGCTCTGTGTTTTTTTAAATCGGAATCATGTGCACTTTTATTGATGTATTTGTGCATTAAAAGTTTTAATAAATAAATAAATGTATACCCGTGCGAAGCCGGCGTAAGTAGCTAGTTACATATAATTTGAAGCACTCTATCATAGCGATGTGAATAATGAAAGTAGTAAAAAAAAGTTCTAACACACGAATAAAAAACACAATCTAATTGAGAATCTCCTTTTTAGAAGTCGGTTAATAAAATAACGGTTGTGTGCGTAGGTAACTAACCGTATCTACTTACGTTGCGTTACGTTCACATACGTTACCGTTGAAGTAACAATTGTTAACATAATCTATACATATCTATACATATAAATAAAATTGGAGTGTCTGTTTGTAATATTGAAATAACCGTTTTTTACTACATACATATGAATATAAATACGGTACATACACAAAAATAACATTTTTTACAATTTTTGTCTGTCTGTCTGTTTGTACCGGTTAATCTCTGAAATGGCTAGACCGATTTTGACGGGACTTTTTTTAGCAAGCAACTGATGTAATAAGGAGTAACTTAGGCTACTTTTATTATAGAAAAATTCTTTTATTTTAGAAAAATAAAGTTAAATTCCAAGCGGACGAAGTCGCGGGTACATCTAGTTGTAAATAAAAGAAAGTAATCTAGTATACTATGATTTGTTTTACATATTTATAGTCAGCATTTTTTTAAACTGTATCACAGAGTAATTAACACTACGTTTTAAAAGAAGTGGCAACCTTATGAGAATTCAACAAAAAATTAAAATGTATTCGACTGAAGGACTTGTATCTATGGTCATGATAAATCATTATTAAAAATGAACAAAAATTGAATCTGCGTAACAATTTGACGTTCTTTTAAAAAAGAAAACTGTACACTTTCATTAAAATTTGCAGATGACGATAAAACTAACAAAATAACAATATGCATACAATTGATATAGAAATTATTTCTTTCTATACAAGTCTTTGTACCCCTTTATATGAAAAATGGCCGGACTATATTATCTATACTAATATTATAAAGCTGTAGAGTTTGTTTGTTTGAACGCGTTAATCTCAGGAACTACTGGTTCGAATTGAAAAATTCCTTTTGGGTTGGATAGTCCATTTGTCAAGGAAGGCCTTAAGCTACAAAACATTACGCTACAACCAATAGGAGCGGAGCTACGATGAAAAATATTGAAAAAGGTGAGAAATGAAACGCAGACGAATTTGCGCGGGTCAGCTAGTAGTTTATATATGTTGAATTCCACCAAATGGCGCTCAAAAAGCACCAAGAGCAGAAACTCAATGTCGCAGAAATGAGAATGCTAAGATGGGCTGGTGGCATAACAATGGTGGATCACATCAAAAACATCCACGTTCGAGGTAGTTTTAAGGTGACTCCCATACAGGAGAAGATTTTAGAGAGCCGCCTAAGGTGGTACGGTCATGTCATGCGGCGACCATCAGACCACATGACAAGAACAGTGCTTGACATAAGTACCCAGCCCAGAAGACGCGGCAGACCCCGTCTCACATGGATGTCCGTTATTGAGAGGGATATAAAAAGCGCCAAAATAACATCCCAGACGACCCAGGACAGAACGTCCTGGCGAAGACTGACCAGACGGGCCGACCCCAAATAAATGGGACCAAGGCCAGGCTAAAGAAGAAGCTAGTAGTTTATATAGAGAAGTGCCGAATTTTAATACATTTTTTAATTGTAGCTATATCTACATACTTCATTTATTAAATAAATACACAAAATCTTTAATTCATATAAACTTAATTTGAGCACTTTTGAATAGTCATAACATTTTTTTTAATCTACCGCTCATTCGGAAAGCTGTCGCATCACAAGAAGAACAAGCAAGAAACTTGTGTGTTGCTCTTTTAAATAATCCTTGTAAGTTCACATTTTACGTGTTAATACTACCAACCAGCACTAATTTAATTAATTTGGGCTCAAATATAAAAACACAATAAGATTAAATCAGTCGTAGTGATACGTCGTAGTATCGTATTAGGTTCTGCCAAACTGAAGAGGAAACGCCGCTTCACATCCTATGTGGTTGTAGCCCACTCATGCATAAACGAAATATCTCCTTTGGAAAGTTTACGAATATCCTTCAATTCTTGTCCCTGACGGGTCTAGGTAGCGAACTTTGAAAATAGGCGAGCACAATAGATCTATGTAGGTTGCAGTGCTACAGGTGCTACAAACATCTGGCAATAGCCCAAACAACCCAATAAATAAAAATCGTAGTAGGTAGTACAAATTTATTAAAGTGTCAGCAAAAAGTAAAAAATACTCTATTCGATATGGCCACTTTTGGCTTTTATACAGGCCTTTAATGTATTTGGCCTCGAAACTATGGATTTACGCATTGTTTCCGAGGGAAATTTCGCCACTGTGTGCTCCACACATTTTTTAAGAGCCTTTTAGCGGTTATGATAGGGTCGCAATTTATGTATATCAAGTGTTCGTCTGGTACAGGCAGCGACAGGAAAAGGGCGGTGAAAGGATGAGTCCAGTCGTGGCTTTGCATAAATGTGCATTCTTAAATTATTTACGAAGGTTGAATAATATCAATAATATACACAGAAAATAAGTTATATCAGATCTTGTTAGATAAATCAGCGGGTGTATTATGAACTCTTAATCCCAAGCAGTTTGCGTCTTAAACTGAACTGCCTGGAAAGTGACTGGATTTTAAAAAGTTCCTTAGAAGGGATTTGGTCCGCTCTGACAGGCTTGCTATTTTTCAGTCTCTCAACGTCGCTAGGCAACGGCATTGCCGCGCGCTATCCGTAGATTGGCCACAGTTTCAATGTTACTGTGTCCTTTAGAGCAGGGCATGTCCTCTAAAACTGACCATAATTTGATAAAGGGTTGTAACATCATTTCAAAAAGTAGTCTCTAAAACTGACCATAATTTGAAGTCTAATATCATCATTTCAAAAAGTATGCAAAATCCACTAAGCACTTAATCATAACATAGTTAATATAAAGTTGGCTGAGTAACAAAATATAGTGAGTTACTAATAACAATAAATTGTAGAAAATATCTAACTTAAAATTCATAGCGCTGACAATGTTATGTGATTGAACAGAGATTAAGTTTTGCCTTAAATTAAAAAATAAAATTAGGGGTGGACTACCCCTAACATTTAGGGGGATGAAAAATAGATGTTGGCCGATTCTCAGACCTACTCAATACGCTCACAAAATTTCATGAGAATCTGTCAAGCCGTTTCGGAGGAGTATGAGAACGAAAACTATGACACGAGAATTTTATATATAAGAAGAATAAAATTGTTGTTGTGTAAAAAAAAAAATTGTAAAATATCTATGTTAATGAAATAAATTTATTATAGTAGTGTGTAATACACAAGAAGTGACTCAATGATAGTGATGTGAAACTTTGTATAAATACCTAAATCGATTATAATGGTAAAGACAGTAATCGATAGATTAATCTATTATTGTATTTACCGTTATAATATATTAAGAATTATATTCTTTTAAAAAAAAAATCGATTAGATTTAAAAAAAAACAATCAAAATTAATGTGTTGCTAGTTCTCAACTAGAAAATTCTCGAATTATTCTGATCTGGATGTGGACTACTCTGTATTTTTTATCTTTATGTCAAGATGTTAGTGTTATATGTACTATTCGTGTTTCATATACAACGGTTATCATCTATACATCTATACATATCAATAAAATTGGAGTGTCTGTTTGTAATATTGAAATAACCGTTTTTTACTACAAGTATATGAATATAAATATGGTTCATACAACAAAATAACATTTTTTACAATTTTTGTCTGTCTGTCTGTTTGTCCGGCTAATCTCCGAAAAGGCTGGACCGATTTTGACGGGACTTTTTTTGGCACGTAGCTAATGTAATAAGGAGTAACTTAGACGAAGTCGCGGGCACAGCTAGTTTTTAACGTTTAATTTGTATAGAAATGAAATAAAGATTTCAAATACAATTTCTTTGTTAAAATAGTAGAATGTGTAACATTATGTTATGGGTGCTAATACAGAATAATAATTTTTATTCTGTTAATTTGTTTAGCATAGGTACTGGTGATATGAAAAACAGATATTTAAATTGAATTCCTTTGTTAAAAATTTGGAATAAATAATTGCGAGTAATAAAGTAAAATAAGTTATCAGTGAAAATATACATTAATATTTTTTATTTTATCAATCTACTTGACATACTGGTGATATAAAATAAAGATGTACAAATTGATTTCCTTTGCTAAACAAATTGGATAAATATTTGTGAGTAATAAAGTATAACTATAACACAGATTAATTAATTTTTAATGATCTCTAAAGACTTACTTTTGCTGACACTATCCAACTTAGTTTTCAGTTCTTCATAATGCAGCATCCTTCCTACTTCACTATTCTTGAGGAGATTATCATTAAACGATTCCAGGTGATTCGTTAAATAACCGGCATATTCATTATACTTTAAATCTAATGTTTCTTCAACAGTCTTCATAAGTCCAGCGGCGTCCATTTCTTTTATTTCCGTCTTTGAACACTTTATAAGCGTCAGACCGCAGACGAAAAAGAAAAAACTTAAAATTGTTTTTGGCATTTTTATTTTTAAATTTTAAATTTCGTATTTCGAACGCGTTTGGCAGCTCCCGATTCGATTTTGTGACTGCCCGATGTCATAGCTCGAGGCTCAAAAGTGTACTATGCATGTCTACTTTTCGATACGCAAACCAATTTAGTTTGACCCGTGATATTTCGCTGTCGCTCGCCGGTGTAAACTGATTCGCGAACAGCGCGGGGGGAGAGGTAGGTACATTAAGAACGGTTTGTTTAATGTAGTTCAAAATTTTGACTTCTTTTTCTTTCCCCACTGAATGAATTAGTCGTCATGTCAAACAATTTTGAACCGAAAGGAGTCGTATTTTGATAACTTTTTTAATATAATCTACGGCGGTCCGAGCGCGGGAATTTATTCAGCGAATGTTTTTTTTGTGGTGTCGTAAAAGCAGATCTTGTTTGAAATTATATTGATAATGGCCGATTTTTGGCGCGCAATTTCACAATGTTGAAGTATTGAAATTTCATTTTGCATATCAACTTTTATTATTGTATCTACCAGTGCGAGACTACAAAATCGTTTGTCTTTCTTGCTTTGTAAATGTAAGATATGACAGTATAATTACAAGTTTTAGAATCACTAGTATCCTGACGACTTAGGCGTAATGCCGGTTAGTCAGGGAGAGAAACACCTCAATGCCTACAATATTCACAATTACCTATCTCTTATTTGTTTTTATAATAATATAAACACTTTCGCTCCAAAACTCCCGCTGCCTCCGTTCAATCATCCGTCATCCACTTGTCAATGTCACACAGATTACTTTGGCTCTGGCCTCTGACGTTCCGTTTCAGGTTACATGATTATTGACTTTACCATTTTTAATTAATGGTGCGTCACACGATAGTTAACACAAGGTACGAAGACATGACATTTTACTCAGGAAGAGCAACACGTGAGCAGTTATTTTAATGGATGAGGTGCACCCGTCTGAAGCTGCTGAAGGTTTGGCGGGGCATCAGTGAAGGATGATAAGATGAACACGAGGTCAGCTCAGTTGGCCCATCGTGACAAATTCACGAGGAATTTATCACGATGGTTTCCAAGAGGAATTGCGAGGAGGTTACCCTGACCTTCTCACAATTCCCCTCGGCATCATATATTGACGACATAACGTCTGTGGAGCTGTTCAGTAAACATATGGATGAACTCAGAGGTCTAGCGTTAAACACGCCTAATTTCCAATTCGGATTCGATTCTCGCTTCTACAAACGTTTATATTCATGAGTATGTTTGTAGGTTTGTTGGCAATACGTTTTGTTAGGAATGTATCTGATGGGATATCAGGTCGACCCTCTCGCGATCTCCCCAGGTAACCATCATGGTGGTGAATTCATCACGATTGGCTAACTGACCCGACCTCATTATCACCTTATCATCCTCCACTGGGGCTATACTATTGTAAATTATTCTAAGCTACATATATTACTGTAAAGTTTCATTAAACTTCATTAATGAGTTTTTGCGTGAAAAAGCAACAAACATCCATCCATACTTACAAACTTTCCTGTTTATAATATTAATAAGATATTATTTTATTTTTGTTATAAATAACATAATCATCCATTAAAAAATCTCAGAATAATTTATTTTATTTATTTACTAACTGTACCCGCGATTTCCTCCGAGTGGAATTTAAGTTTATTTTTCTAAAATAAAAGTAGCCCAAGTTATTACATCAGCCACCTGCGAAAAAAAGTCCCGTCAAAATCGGTCCATTCTGAGATTAGCCGGAACAAACAGACAGACAGGCAGGAATTGTAAAAAATGTACAAACAGACACTCCAATTTTATTTATATGTATAGATTTAAATTTAATGCACAAAAACAATGTGTACATATGGCGGACTTACCACCTTGCTGCGTTATCTAACAGGCAACCATGAGTGGTGCAGAGATTGTTGGCGGTGCACTAATATAAATGAGAAATGTAAAAAAAAGGTTATAATATTTTATAGATAAACATAAATATATAAATCATTACATAGTATAAAACAAAGTCGCTGTCGCTGTCTGTCCATCCCTATGTATGCTTAAATCTTTAAAACTGCGCAACGGATTTTGAAGCGGTTTTTTGTAATAGATTGAGCGATTCTAGTGGAAGGTTTATATAGACGAGTATAGTACATGTACACCCGTGTGAAGCCGGGGCGAGGTGCTAGTATTATATATCAATAAATACATAATGATCTGATAATCAAATTATAAGTAATCTGGTAGATATAATCTAGTTTATATAACGACAAATTTCTACAATTCATAGAATGCAATAAAAATAATTAATAGACTTTTTCTAAACGCATTACTAAGATTTCTGAGATATTCCATCTTAATTTTAAGTGTACTACAAGCATTTTTAATGTTTATAATTAACAATTAAGTGTTGCCAATTAAAAACGTTAATTTGGCAACATTCTCATCTGTTAATTACAAAAAAAACTGTAGGATAAGAGGTTTTGACGTCTTAGAGTAGAATTGCCAAACGTTCCTGTTTTCCCAGGACATGTCCTAGTCTTTGAAGGGTCCTGGATAGTCCTGAATAGTTATATGAGAGGGTCCTGGGCGCCTCTTCACCTCAATCACCTCAATCGCCTCAATCGCCTCAATCACTGATTGCCAACAGTATAATTTTATCAAATACTTTTCATTAATATAATAATAATAATCTCAGGACAATTCACACAGCGCCATCTAGACCCAAGTTAAGCTAGCTAAAGCTGTTATGAGTACTAGGTAACTGATACAAATACATAGATATATATTTTTTTGTAAATACATATGTATGTATGTATTTACAAAAAAATATATATATTGTCTCGGTCTGGGTGTTTTCTATATATAATATGTATTATATATAGAAAACACCCAGACCGATACAAACAATCAATACTCATGAATACAAATGTTTGTGCCGTGCGAGGAATCGAACCCGCGACCGTCGGTCGTAAAGCGGTGTGCTAGACCGCTAGACCACCGAGGTCGTCAACCTGATTATATTGATTACTTGAATTTTACTATATGTTAATATAACTATTGCAATACTATTACTGCGTTCTGTTTATAAACTGGATAGTACTAGTTTTTTGAACTTTTAATCAACATTTATTTATTTAAAAGAGCAACACACAAGTTTCTTGCTTATTCTTCTTGATGAATCTGCATTCCTAATGAGCGGTAAGATAAAAAAAACTTGACTATTCAAAAGTGCTTATATTAAGTTTATTTGAATAAAGATTATTTCTATTTCTATGTCTATATAAAATCTGCTAATACGTTTTTCACAAACATAATATAATAGTCATTGAAAAAAATTTGTATGGATCTGAATGTTGGGCTGTAAAGGGGACGGACGAAAGGCGTGTGCATGTGGCAGAAATCAATTTATTTGAATAAAGATTATTTCTATTTTTATTTCTAATCCTGGTTTTTAAATTTGGGCTTGGCAACCCTATGAGGAATGGCACCGAATGAGTGGCATCACAGATATCACATGATAACGTGATGTCTGTGGGGGGAAAGATGATTGTTAGTAATGTGGATTTATGACCCCATTGCTAGCAATGTACCATGACAGGTTGACCTCCACGCGGTTGCCCCTGGAAACCATCCTGATAAATTCCTAGTGAATTTGACACGAGGTGCTAACTGACCTGACCTCGTATTCAACCTATTATCCTCCACTGGTGCCCCGCCAGCGTAAACCGTTAGCGCAGGCGGGTACACCATTACATTATCATCCACAAAAAAAAACGTGATGCCTGTAGCGTTGTTCATGTATTGCCTGATGATAAGTTGCAACAGATTGACAGTTACCACTTACCATCAGGTGGGTTGTCAGGATAATCAGGTATGTTAATATCTGGTGATAGTGAAATTCAGGAGCTGGTATCAATCCGAATAATTTCTCGCCGTGATATATATTTTTTATAGCACAGGGGACAAACGAGCAAGCGGCTCACCTGATGGTAAGTGATTACCCCCGACTATGAGCACCCGCAACACAGATCGCCATATTGAGTGTGGTGACCGCAAATATAATATTATTTGTTTATATTTTTTTATTCTATTAATATAATTAGTCTTCAAGTTATATAATACTAGCTGCATCCGCGACTACGTCCGCATAAAGTAACAATACTTCCATATAATCTTTCATCTCCCCCTTCAACCCCTTACAACCCTTTTTTCGCATTAAAAAGTAGCCTATGTCCTTTGCCAGGGTCTAGACTATCTGTGTGCTAAATTTCATTTAAATCGGTTCAGTGGTTTCAACATGAAAGTGAGACAGACAGACAGAGTTACTTTCGCATTTATAATATTAGTAAGGAAGTAAGAATAAGGATGAGATGATATAATTATTTTACATAGGTCATATATTCTATGTAAATAAAATTAAGTTGTATGAATTAAAATAAATAAACGTACATACATAGGTAATGATAGGTCTATATTTTTATGTGTAGAGTAGGTACTCTACACATAAAAATATAGACCTATCATTCGAGTTTTTAAACGACTTAAAAAATAGATGGTACTATTTTTTAAGTCGTTTAAAAACTTGAATCGAACTCTCAATATGTCAAAGAAAAAAAACGAAAGAAAAAAGTAAGAGCATGAGGTGTGCCAACTGAAACGTCAATTTCGCGGCAAATCGATCGATTTCCGAACACCGACATTTTTGTTTTCTTAAAAAAAATATTCCCTCATTTAATCACGTCTGCGCGACGTGTCGAGAACCACATTGTTATACTAATATAAGTAATTAATAGTGTTATAAGTAAAATGGTGTGGATTCACGTAAAAAGTGGTAATTAGGCGCCACAATGGGGCACGTGCGATCGGCTGTAGAAATGAACATGGCCGCCGGTCGTAGACGGCGAATTATTGTCGGCGAAAGAATGTCGGCGTATGAATGTCGGCGAAGTCGGCAAATGTTTCGAAAAAATGTACTAATTCGATTTATGCCTGGTGTACATGATTCA